CGGCCCACCACAATGCTCTTGGCCCATCACGACTGCTTTTTGGTACATTTTTGTTTCTGCCCTCTTAGTTTTTAGTGCGGTCAGAGCCTATAATGACAATATTTTAACAGAGTCAAGAGGAATTGTTTTTCCCTTGGGAAACGTTATGTGGCGGTGGACCGGCCGAAGCTTCGTCCGGTCGCTCCCGTACTGCTAGATTGCCCAACGATTCTATGGCTAACAGGTCTACAGATTCATTGTTTGCGTTGTTGGATTTTCCTCCTCGGCCCACCACAATGCCCTTGGCCCATCACGGTTGCTTTTTTCCTCTCATCTTCAAATGCGTCATCCGGCCAGCTGCCACCGTGGCGGCTGCATGCTGGAACCAGCATCCCGACATACTGGAACCAGCGAATTTTTTTGCTACATCCATTCAAGTCGGAGGTACGACCGCGACGATGAAGATGGCCTTTTGCTGCAATCGTCGTCAGTTTTTGTTACGATTGGCGAGAAAATTTGCTACATCCATTCATGGCAGAGATGCGACCTGAGACGGCGGCGAGGATGATTTTTGCTGGACCCGTAATTGTTTTTTGCTACTATGGGCGAGGTTGTTTTGCTACATTCATTCATGGCGGAGATGCGGCCAGGGACGGTGGCGACGAGGATTTTTGCTGCACCCGTAATTGTTTTTTTGCTACTACCAACGAGTTTTTTTTTCTACATTCATTCATGGCCGTGACGCAACCTGGGACGGCGGCGACGGTGATTTTGTTGCACCCATATTTTTTTTGCTACTACTGGCGATGTTTTTTGCTACATTCATTCATCACGGAGATGCGACCAGGGACGGTGGTGACGACAGTTTTTGTTGCGCCTACAATTGTTTTTTGCTACTATCGGAGATGTTTTTGCTACATCCATTCATGGCGAAAATTTGACCCGGGACGACGGCGGCGATGATTTTTGCTGTAACCATCATTGTTTTTTTTGCTATGACCGATGAGTTTTTTTTGCTAAATCCATTAAATGGCGTTGGCTGGCTACTATCGTTTGTGCAACCCCGTGCAACGAGCGTCGACGGTGCACCGGGGGTGCTTCAACCAAGTTACTTTATGAAAGTATTTGGTGATTAATGTTTGTAAACAAGCTAGGAATCTACACCCAAGAAATTGTTACTGTTTCTTGATGGAATGCTACATGAGTGCTTTTTCAGTTGTAGAAATATGGGAAATATGCTGGAAACATACACCAATTTTGCTTTCATGGTTTTTTTTTTTGGTTTATGCTACAATGCTACATACAAATATTTTTTCTTTGTGCGCGGTGCGACTGTCCGAAATTTCGGCCGGTGCACCGACGCCTATCAGTGGCCTTTTCCCTTTCTAGTTTTCAGTGGGGTCAGAGCTTACAATGGCAATATTTTAGCAGAGCCAAAGAGAATAATTTCAAGGAGGGCAAAGGAAGGTTGCTTGGGTCTCCTGAGATGTACTCACAATGCCCAAGTATCAAGGATGGCTAGGGTTTCGAGATACAACTTTTTAACCTAGCTATGGTTGCTAAGCAAGCTTGGAGGCTCGTCCAAGATCCTGACGCACTCAACTTCTGTGGGCTATGTATTTTCTGGATGGCGATGTTTTGCAAGCTAACTTGGGGAGCCACCCTTCCTAGGTTTGGCGAGTTGTCAACGAGGGTATCTCTGTGCTCAAGCAAGGACTGATTCGAAGGATTGCCAATGGGCATTCAGTGAATGCGTGGGAGGATAACTGGTTACCTTGAGAATTTATGCTAAGATCTCTCCAATGGTGAACTACCGGTCCACCTAGTCGAGTCAGTGACTTTATTGATGAATCGTCTAAGTCATGGAATAGAGGATTAGTTAATGAATATTTCCAGACTCCTAATGCGCAGATTATTCTCAACATTCTCCTAAGTACTCGCAACTTAGAGGATAGTTGGGCATGGCACTATGATCAAAACAATATCTTCACTATTAGATATGCTTATAAGCTCCTAGTCGACGCTAAAAAGAGAAGGGAAACATGGCTTGAAGGTAGGACCTCGGTTTCTGACGCGTCATCAGTTCAGAATCAGTGGAAAAAATTGTGAAATATGAGGGTTCCAAGCAAAGTCAGAAATTTTGCATGGCGTCTTTCTCACAACTTGATCCCAACCGAGGCAGTGAGGGAGAAGAGAAATATGGCGGATTCCAGTAGCTATGAAATCTGCAATAGAGCTGAAGATACATGGTGTACATGCACACATTGTTTGTAATATGCCAAAGTGTGTTTGGTCACTTGTTGATGAAGATCTTGTCGAACATTTGATTGCATGAAATAACGTTGGTGCAAGGTTATGGCTGATGGAGATGATGGATTCTATGAGGGAGGGCTAGTTCATTAAGATGATTGTTACCCTATGGGCCATTTGGTGGGCTCGTCGATGGCGATTCATGAAAACGAGTTCCAGTCCCCCCTTGTCAACATATAGTTTTGTCCAGAATTACTTGTCAGATCTTGCTATATTGCCATTGCGACCTACCAGATGTGGCACTATGATGCCAGCGGCGGCTTCAAGATAGGAGAGGAATAATTGGATCAAGCCTATGTATGAATATCAACGTGGATGCCGCCATCTCCAGGAACAATGACAAGGGGGGTCCTTGGTGGCAATATGCAGAGATAAGCATGGCCTCTATATGGGTGCATAGGCTGTTGTGGTTAAGGACTTGGTCCTTGGAAGCTATGGCATTGAGAGAAGCCCTTTCTCTGGCTGAGGATCTTTATCTAAGAAGAATTCGTATTGCTATTGACTGTCAATCAAAGATCAACCATATCCAGGGAGGGTATAAAGGTGCCAGCCAAGCGTTTATTCATGATATCAAGACGAAGATTGAAGAGTTCGAGGTCACCCATCTGCATCATGAGAAGAGAGCGCATAATGGAGAAGCACATGACCTAGCTAAAGCTGCCACTTCACTTTATCTGGGGCGCCATGTGTAGCTTATGAATACCCACATTCCATTTAGTTGAATAAAAGCAG